CTCTATAATTAAGTTATAGAGATTGAAATTGTTGGGGCTGGGGTTGGGGCTCAGTGCTAGAGCACTCACCTTGCACATGCGAGACCCTGGGTTCGATCCTCAGCACCACATAAAAATATATGAATAAAATAAAGGTATAAAAAAAAGAAATTGTTTGAAGGTTGCCTTCAGCTTCTGAAAGGACTGCAGTTTCTAGTGCACACTTCCTCCCAGGGTATGTCCTTCAGTCCCCTGAGAGCATGGCCATTTTATAATGCTTCCATTCTGTGGCATACCTTGGACTTCTGTTTTTGGCCCTTGGACTAGTAAAGTTGTTAGAATCTTTGCTCAACTTCTCAGCCTCTCTGCCACTTCTTGAGACAGCAGACAGCCCTAGGGAAAAGTGGCACAAATGTGACACAAACTCCTTTGGATCTCCTCCTCCTTTCAAATCTTGGTCCCATAATTCTTCATAGCTCATTATTTCCCAGGTAATCTTAGAGCATATTGCTTTAAAGAATATATTTTGCCTGGTTTTTCTCATTTTTATTCAGGGGAGAGTTAGCCCACATTTTGTAGTCTGTAGTATCATAAACCTTTCCATTTATTTTGGCCAGGTGTTTAGGGGCACTCACAAACTAAATTTCTGACTAGTGTTTTGGTGATCATTCTGACACATTTGGGCTACAGTTTTGCAAGAGGACCAGTCTCCCCAACTCCCCTTCTCTGTTCACTCTAAGATAGTTTTTCCTAGCTGTGGGTTAAGGGGAATGGATTCAGTTCTGGTTTATGCCATCCTGAGGTTTATTGCTTTAAGATCCCAGATTCATGTTGGTCGTCTCTGATTAGATGCCCTACCATCTTTGTGCCCCGGGGCTTTCATTCTTTGGCTCCACTAGACTATTAAGACACAGTTCAATTTCAATAGGATCAGCAAATTCCTCTGAGGCCCAGCTGACTTCCTATGCCTTTTTCTCTCTGGCATACTCCTTCTTGCTGCCTTCATATCTCTTACATCTTTTTAAATTTTATTCATTGTTCTAGTTGTTGTCAGTAGGTAGCCTTGTTGCATAAAGTGGGGCAAGTCTCCACCACCCTGAACTTCTATTTCCTTGTGTAAAGATGGGGAGAATAAACATGCTTCTGTCTACACAGAGTATCAACTGAGCTCATTGTGCTTTGAAGGCAAGTTTCATTGTCATTGTTTTCTTCACAGCCACCTGTCCTTGCTCAACATGCTCTGAATTTCTCTTCTTCTGCCAGCCTCTTGTATATTAGTGCTCTGCAGTTTCTACCTTTACCTCTACTTTTTAAAAGTAATTTTTCTCATCCTTTGCAGGTATATGGGTTATTTTTCTACTTCACTTCTGTCTTCTGAACTCTAAGCCCATATTGCCTACTTATACCAGGCTCATCATACACACCCCCACACCCAAATCTCYTCCTCGTCCCTCCCTGGCCCTAGTACCTGGCACTGCTGTCTTATCTACTATGCCATTGTCCAGGCTAGAAACCTGGGAATCCACTTGAGCACTGCCCTCTCTCCCCCCAACATGCATTTYGTCACCAGATACTGTGAAATGAACTTCATGTTTCTGGAGCCTGTTCATTTCTGTTATCCTCCTGATTGATCTCAGTCTCTAGCTTTTCACTTCTCAACCCATCCTTCCTCCTATCAGCCAGGGTGAGCTTTCTAAAATGCCCCTGTTTAGGGTCCTTCAGCAGCTTCCCAATATCCTAAACTCCATTAACATTGCTCACACAGCTTTTCATGGCCTGCCTCTTTTATCTTCCTTTCTCTTCACTAATTTAAGCTAAAACTCATCTGTTCTGAACTCTTTGCAAGTTTCTTGACCTTAAATCATGCTATCATCCTTGTCTGCGTGGGTTAGGGGAATCGTATCTGACCCACTCCATCTTTAGACTGCTCTACTCCTTGTTTTGAGCCCAAATCTGCTCTCCCAGTAGGCCTATTGCCTTTCTGCCTTGGACCATGTAAGATTCTTGGGAGTGACCAGTACAGAGTGGAAGGAAATTGTTACCTCCTCTTTTCTAATCATTCTATTCCTAATAATGCCACATAAACRGCATTGGCTTTTTAGCAGCCACATCATGAGTCCTCTTTTATGCAAATAGTTTGTTATGCTCTGTTTCGTTGTCCTGTGTTTGCATCCTGGTTTTCTGTATCTTCACACATTTATACTGATATTAGAGGTTTCTCAGTTTCGTTTTGCTTTCTGCAGTGCTTAGCTCGGTTCATTAAGCCAAATATTTTACCTAATTCAAACTTTGAGAATGTAAAATTTTAAAAAATCCCCTTTGCCATGTACATAGAGGATCTGAGCCCAGAGATGCTCAGCACCAGCTAGAAGTCATGCAGCAAGCAAAGCAGCAGCAGCACCAGAGCCAGAGCTCAAGGCCCCTGATCCCCATTGCCATGCTTCTTCTCATGTGACATACAAATTCCCCTTGCTGGATCCAACCACTGGATATACTCTTAGCTTCTAAAAAAAACCAAAACATTATGTTAAATCTGTCACATTTTAATTGGTATTAATTCTGTTTGCTGAGAGAAGGGATAATAAAAATCTATCCCTCTGAACAACTGGAAACATCAGCTTCTCCACCTGGCAGGCCCTGTCACTTCAAAGAGTTCTTCTTGCAAGAGGCTGCTGAAGGAGAGCCTCTGAAGCCCGCAGCCTCGTTCTTTTAAGACACCTATTTTATAGACAAAAATGAACCTTTCCAATGTTATAATTAGGGCAGAACTTCCAAAAAGCAAGGCAGTGTAACTTATCACAGAGACAAGACAGAGCTAGCATCTCCATCATAGAGTTCAAGAGSAATTTTTTTTAATCTTATCTCTTTGCTGTTTCATTGGAGTAAAATAAAGATTGGCCAACTATCATAAATCTACAGAGCTGCTGCACAGTGTTCTGTTCTTGTTCTCAGGCAGAGATTTAAAATTCAGTATTAAAAGTTGGTCCTTCCAGGAAGGGGAAAAGCTCACCTGTGRCCTTGAAATACCATGAACCAAAGGCTCCTGCCTTCCCTGTTGAGTGTTTCTGTCCTTGGACTTCAAGCCTATTTCCCACACTGCTGCCAGGGCTTTTCCTGAATCCTTTTCCGCCCTGCCCCTTTTTTTGAGTTAGATCTATCATGTTTATCATYTATAGAAGTCAGAAAGTTTTACAGAAAGGGAAATTCCTTATAAAAACACTGGGGAATCTCACAGCCATGTATGAGAGACATATTTAGAGAACGTAGGTCCTAAGTACTGTGGAGCAGCCTGGAAGTCCTGTCTCTCAATCTCATATCTGTTCTTTTCTGTAACTTGCCCCGTTTCWCCTCATTGCTGGGATGTGTTTGTACTTCTGAGCCCCATGGTAGGAAAGATGCCTGCCTAGCACTTCTAATTATGTTACAGATCCAGCCATAAAGAGGTGATTTTCTCTTCATTCTTTTTCACAGTGGTTAAGAGCATGGCAGATTCCCTCTCATTCTTTATGGTCTGGCTTAAGTATTGCCTTCCCTGAGCCTTCCCCACCTGCTTCTGTTAAAGCACTTGTCCCACTATGTGCAGCRTATCTGTCTCCTCATGAGACTGTAAGCACCCTAAGGGGAATAATATATTATTTTTCTTCTTGTATTYTTAGTACCTGGCTGTACAAATGTATGTTAAAGAGACTCATGAGTGTGAATGAATGAATAAATGAATGAATGATTTCTGTTCCCCTTTATCAGTGAACTCTCTTGATTTCTGTGTATGTTCCTGTGCTGGGTTTTGAACACTGTCTACCTTTGTTAAACTCACTCTTATCTAGCCCAGGCAACAGCCACCCCTCCATATCTACACCCTTTAAACCCACATGYGGTTTGAAGATTTGCAACTGTGATAAGTGGACAGCAGGAATGGAAAGAGGCTGGGTTTTGGAGTCAGGGAAAACTAGATTCTAGTTTTCATTCTACCACTTTCTAGCTCTGAGACTTTCAGCATGTCACTCTGAGCTTATGTTTCCTGATCTGAAAAGCAGAAGAACAATATTCATCCTCCCCACCAAGATTCTGTGATAACACATAACATCTAACACAATGCCAGGAATATAGCAAGCTCTGAAGGACTGTTTGTTTCCCTTCTTCTTCTTGTATTTGTGATTGTGGCATATATATATATATATATATATATATATATATGTTTGTGCCTTGTCTCATGTCTATGGATGTTTTTATCTTGGTGTGTGGACAGGATGGAATCTGGAAGAAGGAATGAAAATGGGATTTGAGTCAACTGCAAATCGAGTTACATCGAGTTACCCAGGCCTCATTCAGCTGGAACACAAGATCATATTAATAGTTGTACCTAAAATGCCTGCCTGTGTAATTCAGGACCTCAGCCTCTTAAATATCATTCTTAGGTTTTTCTGGAATCCTCTGAGAGTTGAGTTTAAAAAGACACTTCTCATCTACTAACATGTACATTTTATACAGTCACTCCAGAGGAGATCCTCACTACAGCCAGGCACAGTGTCCTTTATCCAGACTCCCTTAACCCGACTTGGTGGCAAAGCTGTGGTCCATACCAATACTAAAGGCATTGTCTCCTGGYGCTTATATGGTTACCAGTCCTTGGGGTGACACAGCATTCCCAGGAGTCAGCTCTGAGCCACAATTGTGCAGTGTTCTACCTGCAGGATGCTTCCCACTCCTTGGCTATCCATACCTTGCTGACCCAGGTATCTTCCAAGAGCACCACCAGTGCCCCTTACCCTTCCCCAGCCTGGCCTCATGATGTGTGTAAACTTTCTCCACACAGAAGATTTTGTGTACAAGTGGGGCTTGGGAAAGGGGTCAGTGGGGAGGAATCTCACCTGTCTATCTCTACAGGGACCTCTCTTGGGAACTAGAGAAGTCCCCAAGCTGGTTAGTCCTCCCAGGTGATTCCTTGTCCTCCATTTCTTCCTGGGGATGGTAGAGCATGTGTCCCCTGCTCTGCTCAGTACCCAAGATCTTTACACTCACAGGGAAGCACCCATAACATCGCTGACAAGCAAGAAGTATATCCTGAGGTTCCCGGCACTGGAGACACTGATGCTGGATGACAACAAACTCTCCAACCCCAATTGCTTTGCCAGCCTGGCAGGGCTCAGGAGGTAAAGCCACAAGCCTGCCTCCTTAGGGCCCGCCCTCTCTCACCCCAGCCATGCTCATGCTCTGAGTGCTGCTCTGCAAACCCAATGGCCTGGTTTAAGGCCCAGCTCCTCCACTTATCTCTGCTGTGTGGCCATGGGTAAGTGATTTCTCCCCTCTGAGCTTTAGCTCATCATAAAATATATATATATATATAGCATCAGTAAGAACATTTATGATCATGTGACTGGATGAGAAGCAGCAGAGAGAAAGGAGGGTAGGAGGAGGTATTACCCAAGACAGCATCCTGACCCAAGGAAGAGAAGGATAACAACAACATCAAATCAGAAAGAGAAGTATAACTGCTGAATTCTATGTATTTGGTTGAAGTAAAGAAAAGTCTAGCATTTAAATGGCTAAGTTTTAGATCCTTAAAAATTTCCTTTGGATTCAGGAAATTTTCTGACTTTGTGCCAGGACACTTACATATTATCTCATTTAATCTTCACAAGAACCTTGGAAGGTTAGAAGTATTCTCCCCATTTAGAGAGAGGGATATTGAGACCCAAAGAGGAGAAGTCACTGGCCCAAGGTCACACAAGAGAAGGAGGTATCCAAGATGGATTCCCTGCTTTCCCTAAGTTGCTCGGTGCATATCCCTGAGGTGTCATTACTGCTGTGATTCTGTATTCACTTTCCTTAATTGAAGACTGAAGAAGTTAAGCCTGGACCAAAACAGGATTTTCCGGATCCCGTACCTACAGCAGGTTCAGCTCCGTGATGGGTCAGGGGACTGGGTTGGAAGCCATATAAGTCCCCAGAAAGAGTCCCAGTGCACACTGCAGCCCAAATCGTGGATCTATGAGCCCTCAGATGAGCAACCGGACTATACCATACTGCCCATGAAAAAGGATGTTGACCGGACAGGTGAGTGATGCCCCTGTTCCAGTCGCTAGCCCCATAATGGGAGTAAATGTCTGGGAGTTTATCCTGAAAGTCTGTGGTTTCCTGGGGAACTGCTGCATTTAAACTGAACTAGTTGATGACTCCCCAACTGGTTCTGTCGGATAAGGTGCTTTTGAAATCCAGTGAAAAGTGAATAATTTCTTTGAAATCTGAAGTAACAAGAACTCAGAAGGAAGGCTTTCCAGAGATGGTTAATTCTATGGTGTGTCAGTGTCCTCRTAGAACTCGTACCTTCTCTGCCATCCTCAGCCTGCCCAGTTGTTCTTTCTTTTAGCCTTGTTTCCATTGAGGTCTCAAGGTGGCTACCACAGTCCCAAGAATCACACCCACATAGCAGCATTCAAAGGCAGCAAAAAGAAATGTTACCTGTATTATAAACCAAAATCCCTTTAATGTAGGAATATATTTCTGGATTATATGTTTTGTTCCACTGATCTAGTTATATGTTATTGCACCACTACCATGCTGTTTGATTTTTTATATCTCTTCTAAATTGAGAACATAATTCACTTTAGGTAAAATACAGAAATATTGTGCAGGGCTTGAATTTTTACATATATCCTTTTTCTACTCCCCATATTACAGTACAGAACATTTCCAGTGTCCCTTCCAATCAGTACCTCCTCCAAGAATAGCCACCATTCTGACTTCTAGCACCATAGATTAATTTYCCCTGATTTTAAATTCATGTATATGGAATTGTATGGCATGTGCTCTTTTATGTCTGATCTATTTCACTCAGTATTTTATCTGTGGGATTCATTAATGTTGCTGTATATATAGGTAGTACAGTCTTTTTTCATTGTTCTTGTTTATTCCACAATTTAATGACCCTTTTTACTGTTGACAGACATTCTGGCTATTTCTGTTTTTGCTATTATGGTAAAGCTGCTGGAGCATCCTCTTCATATCCTTTGGTAGACATAAGCACCAAATTAGTGGGTCATGGACTATAAAAGTATGTTGAGCATTAGTAGATACTGCCAAATGCTTTCCCAAAGTTGTGCCCGTGTTTACTCCCACATTGATCAAAGATATTTCCAATTACTCCAAATCCTCACAAATGCTTGGTAATTCAGTCTTTGTAATTGTAGCTGTCTTGGTGGCTATATAATAGTATTTTGTTGTGGTTTTAATTTACATCTCAAATAACTAATGATACTGACTACCTTGTCATGTGTTCATTGGTCACTTTGGCACCCTTTCTTGGAATTGACTGTTCAAGGATTTCTATATACATATTGAGTAGTCTGTCTTTTTCATGTTGATTTATTGGGTTCTTTATATATCCTGGACACAAGTTTTTCATAGATGTGTATATTATAAAACTCTTCCAGTGTGTGACTTGTTTTTTCATATTCTTAATGGTGATTGTGTGTGAAGTGGAGGGTACTGGAAATTGAACCCAGGGGCATTCTACCATTGAATTATACCCCAAACCTTTTTAATTTTTATTTTGAGACAGGATCTTGCTAAGTTGCCAAGGCTGCCCCCAAACTTGCAATCCTCTTGCTTCAACCTCTCAAGTTGCTGGGACTAGGTAGATGCCACCACACCTAAGTTAATAGCGACTTTTAGTGAACATAAGTTTTAATTTTAATGAAGTAAAATTTATCAGTCTTTTATTTTGTGGTTAGTGCTTTTCCTTTCCCATTTAAGAGGTTTTTTGTTTGTATTTGTTTTTGTTTGTTTGTTTGGTACTAGAGATTGAACCCAGGGGTGCTTAACCATTGAGCAACATTTCTAACCCTTTTTATTTTTTATTTAGAGAGGGTCTCCTAAGTTACTGAAAGCCTTGCTAAATTGCTGAGGCTGGTTTTGAATTTGGGATCCTCCTGCCTCAGCCTCTGGAGCCACTGGGATTACAGGCATGTGCCCACATCTCACTATAAACAAATTTTGATACTTAGTAGTAAAGTCTTTCAGCTAGATCATTGTCCTTCAGAATTGCTGTGCATACTATAAGGCTTTTGCATTTTCACATAAATTTCAGAATCAGCTTTTCAGTCCCCATATAAAATTCTGCTGGAATTTGATTGAAATTTCACTACCTTTTAAGTCAATTTGGAAAGACTCAACATCTTTGCTACCTGGAGTTTTCTAACTCATTAAATAACATATCCCAGGAGTTTTTAGGTCTTTTCTCAACAATACTTTATATTATTCAATGGTGAGATTGTACATATCTTTAATTAGATTTATTCCTGGGTAGTTGTTTTGTTTATACTGTTGTCATTGATATTACTTTTTTAACATTTTATTTCCACATATTTATTGCTAGTACATAGAAAGACTGAATTTGTATCCAGTAACCTTTCTAAATTCATTATTTATTTTTTCTAATCATTTGTAGGTTTTTATGGATTATCTGTGTTCACAACCATGATCTCTACAAATGATGATCATTTTATGTCTTCTCTTTGCCAATCTTAATACCTCTATACCTGTTTAATGCCTTATTTTGCTGGTTAAGACTTCCAGTACAATGTTGAATTGAAGTACAGGGCATAGTGGCACACGCCTGACTTGGGAGGTTGAGGTAGGAGAATCACAAGTTCAAGACCAGCAATACTCTCAGCAACTTAGTGAGACCCTGTCTATAAATAAATTAATAAATAAATGTAGCTCATTGGTAGAGCACCCCCTGGATTCAGTCCCTGGTATCCCCTGCCTCCAAAAAAATGTCAAATAGAAGTGATGATAATGAATATTAAAGAAATTTTCTTGCATTCCTAGAGAGGTTTTTTTTTTTTATTGTGAATGGGTATTGAATTTTGTCAAATGCTTTTTCTGGGACTGAGACTTTAGCTCAGTGGTAGAGTACTTGCTTAGCATGTATGAGGTCCTGGTGTTGCTTGACTGCTGATATCATGGGAGCTGAGAACCAGGTCTCTGAGGACAGAATACTGGCTAGTAGGTCAAAATCAGACTGATTTATAAAAGTGAGAAACATGCCAGGTGGACTCAGGTGCTGCTGGGGTAGAAGCATGACTCCACCAGCATTCATAGGAACTGCCAGCAGTCAGGAAGCGCATGGGAAGCAAAGGAGGAAGCCAGTCCTTCCTCTTCTAACTCTGCAGTCTTCCTCTCCAACCACCCTATTGTCAGAGTCTAACAGGAAACCAACTGGCAAAAGCCTGGCTTTCAGGTTTTCTAAGCCCCAGCTCCAGCATCCCAAAGCAGAATAGAGAAGAGTTGATTTGCAAGTCAAACTTGGAAATTAATAATTGACATGATTATGTTATTCAATGAGTTTTCCAATAAAATTTTTCAGCCTACTTGGTTTGTTAACTTTGGAAACAGGCATATTAAAGTCTCTCACCAGCGAGGCACAGTGGTGTACACTTACAATCCCAGCAATTTGGGAGGCAGAGGAAGGAGGATTACAAATTCAGAGCCAGCCTCAACAAGATCCTGTCTCAAAATAAAAAAATATTTTTTAAAGGGCTGGGGATGCTGGACGTGGTGGTGCATGCCTGTAATCCCAGCAGCTTGAGAGGCTGAGGCAGGAGGATGGAGAATTCAAAGTCAGCCTCGGCAATTTAGTGAGGCCCTAAACAACTCAGTGAGATCATGTCTCTAAATAAAATACAAAAAAGGGCTGGGGATATGGCTCAGTGGCTAAGCACCTCTGGATTCACTCCCCAGTCCCAAAAAATGGGAAGGGGGCAGGGGATGTGGCCCAGTGAGCTCCTGAGTTCAATCCCCAGTACCTAAATAAATAAATAAATAAAGTTTCTCACCACTAATATGGATTGTCAATCTCTCTTTGAATTTCTGGCATTTTTTACCATGAAGTTAGTTATCTGTTATTAGGTTTGCAGCTTTTATCTCAGTAGTTTGTGCCTTTTAATCACTGTAAAGTGTCACACCTTATCTTTTTTGGCCTTGACTTGGCTTTTTATTTGATATGAATACCTGTGTTAATGTATCTCAAAAACAATATGGCATTGCACACTCAGGGGCACTTTATCATTAAGCTACATTCCCAGCGCCCCCCCCACCCTCTTTTAAAAAAATTTTTTTTTTTTGAGAAGGGTCTGTCTACATTGCCCAGGCTGACCTTGAACTTTCAATCTTCCTGCCTAAGTCTTCCAAATTGCTGGAATTACAGGTGTTCACACCAAATCTGATTCTATTGGTCTTTAGTATATGTTTCTATGTATCTAAGTTTTTTTCTTCTTTTGTGCCTTTTTGTGARCATTAACTCTTCTTTTAATTCCATTTTTCCTCAAATTGTTAAAGGTAATACATTTCATTTCTGTATTTTTAGTGGTTATCCTAAGATCCTATTTATATATTCAAACTTACCTTTGTCTGTCAATAACTAGAATCAACCAAAAGTAAGTCTTCCCTTTAATAAGAAGAAAATCTTAATGTGCTTTTATCTGCTAAACCCCACCCCTGTTGCTTCCCATAATGTAATAAACTCTAATAATAATTTAGATTGGTTTTGATTTTTTAATTATATATCAACTATTCTTTAGTTGAGATATTGAACTGTTAGTTTTACTTCGTTCTTACCCCACTGTTTGTATCTCAAAGCTTCCTCTTTGTTAGATTCTTTATTGTGTGTATAACTTAGGTGCAAAGTTGAGTCTTTATGGCTGAATAAAACTCCATTGTGTATATACACTACACTTATCTATTMATCTGTTGATGGACACCTAGGCTGGTTTCATAGTTGGGCTGTTGTGAATTGTGCTGCTATTATAGACATGAGTATGCCTGTGTCACTACAGTATGCTGACTTTAATTCTTTAGGACAAATACTGAGGAGTGGTACAGTTGGGTCATATGGTGCCTAGTCCTTTTTTTTTTTTTTTTTTTTTTTTAGGACTGGAGATTGAAATCAGGGGCACTCAACCATGGAGCCACATCCCCAGCCCTATTTTGTATTTTGTTTAGAGACAGGGTCTCACTGAATTGCTTAGTGAGTTGGATAGCCATTGCTGAGGCTGGCTTTGAACACTTGATTCTCCATTCTCAGCCTCCCGAGCCGCTGGGATTATGGGCGTGCACCACCATGCCCGGTTCCATSCCTAGTCTTGTGAGGAACCTCCATATGGATTTTCATAGTGAAACCACACATCTTTGAAAGAATTCTCAAAAATCAAATTATATCCTTTGCAGAAAAATGATTGGAACTATAGACCATATGTTTAGTGAAATAAGTCAAACTCAGAAGGTAAAGGGTCCTTTTTTTTTTTTCATATGTGGGAGCTGGAGAGGAAATTAAGGGGAGATCAGTAGAGGAAAAGGACCAGGGGCAGGAAATGGGGAGGGAGAGGGGAAGTGCTGGGGAATGATAGTGTCCAAATTATATTGTTATATTGTGTGCATGTATGAATGTATAGAACAAATCATATCATGCACCAATAAAATAATGTGGGGGGAAAAACAGAAAAAAAATGTGTGGTTTCCTTCATCTTGGAGAAAATCTTTTTATTTCCCTCTTGATATTCTCTATATGGTCTTCCTCTGAAATTCTCTCGGATTCCACAAGTTTTGGCCTATCTTCAGCTACTGTTTTTTCTCATGCTTTGAATTTCTTTGCATTTTGTACTGTATTCTGAGAGAGTCCTCAGGTCCATCTTTGACTTTGTGAATTAGCTCTTTAGCTGGGTCTGTTCTTATATCCAGCATATTTATTCAGTCCTTTATTGCATTACCATATTTTAAATTTATGAAAGTGTTAGTAGATTCACTTTCACAATAACCTACTTTTATTTTAGAAATGAAATAGCTTTTCAAATTTCTCAGAGGATGCTGATTATTCTATATTAAAGTTTTTACTCTTTTTGTTAAACTGGTTTTTTTTCCAGTGCTAATTTCATCTATATTTCATAACTTTGTTCTCAAGGTAAATTTTCATGAAATATTTGGAGATTCTTGATTGTTCCTTTTTTCACATAAGACTCCCCAATCAGAAGCTTAGAATGCAGGTTCTGACATCCAGAGTCACTCTTGACGATTGTGGGAAGGGACAGGCTTGTATGTAGGCATGGTGTAGCCCACCTTTCTAGAAGGAGGTGCTCTCTGTTTATCAAGGGATTATTGCTCAGGACCCACACTTGCCACCATGGCCCATCCACCTACAAACTCCCAACTTTGTTCATTGTGCAGACCTTTCCCACATGGCTCACAGACCCTCATCTATGGCAGGCATTGTTTTACTTCTTACTATTTATTTATATGTGACATTTCTCATTATAATATCATTAATGTGGGGAAGGGGTCTCCTTCACCCGGGTGAAGGCAAGTGACATCTACACAGGACCCAGTCTCAGTGATCATTTGTTAGGGTGAACTCAGCTATTTATTGGCACATCTTAGTCAGATGGTCCCAAGAAAGAAATCTTTCCACATCCTCCTCTTTTGGCCCATGTGGCTGACTGTGCTGGCTGTCTCTCCTGAATTCACTGACTTTAACACATTCTATTTCTRCTAAAATGACAAAGAGTATTTTCAAATCCTCTGCCAGGATTTTTATACATATATATTTCTCTCTCCTAAAACAGCTGGTTAGCTTTTTGCTCAGTGTGGACTCTAATACCTCTGAGGCTAGAAAGAGCTTGCATGTTGCAAAGTCAGAAAGAAGGTCAGTGTGGTTGAGATACAGTGATGAGGGCGAGGTAGCATGGTATGAGATGGGAGGCAGGGTGGGGACCGACCTTGTGGGGCCTCCCAGGCCTGGTGAAGGAGTTTGGGGCTTCCCAGGCCTGATGAAGTCCTAGTGCAAGGGGACTTATTTCCTGATGGATATTACAGCTGTTCCTTTTCCCAGTTAGCACTGGAACTGATCTAGAGGGTATCCTGCTGATGTAGTGGGGGGCAGATGTAGACCCTGGCCTCTCTGGGAGTCACTCTGTGCTCTTACCAACCTTCACTCTATTTCTCTTTTGTTTCAGAGGTTGTGTTCTCATCTTACCCAGGATTTTCAACCTCAGAGGTAGGAACGGCCTAATTTATATTTGCATACTTGAGTTAGAACAGCATTTCTATTTATTTAATTACAGTCTCACATATGCTAAGTAAGCACTCCTCCACTGAGCTACATCCCTAGGCGAGGAACATTAATTTTAATAGGAAAAAAATGTTAAAAAAATAAAAGGAAACGAAAAAAATGTTTTTTGGTTCCTGAGGGGCATTACTATAGACCACACTGAGAAAGGCCATTCGTTGAACAGATGTGTGCTAGGTACGAGGCACCATGCTGGCCCCTAGAAGGGCAGTGGTGAGCTGAGCAGACAGGCCCTGACCTTGTGGGCCCACAGTCTAGCTTTCGCTGTCCTCAGATGCCATTCAGCATAACATACTAACAGTGGCTGCTTCAAGTGACAAAGCTTGCTGAAATGCGGCTGCCACCAGCATGAAGCCCAGAAGGTCTCTAACAAGAATCTCCAAGAGCTGGAAAAGTTCTTGCCAAATATACCACTACCCGGATCCAATCCTTGTTGTCAAAGGCTTGGAATGTTGATTTTTGTCAGCACAGAAAATTGGTTTTTCTTTCAGGGCAGATGTTCACAGACCAAGCTCATGGAGACTCATGTACATAAACTAAATATTGATTTGTTCACTTAAAATAAGAAGTACAACTCTACATTTACCCAGCTAGTTCCTTGAGAGGCAGCTCAGTACACTGCCTCCCCACACAGATTTTTTAAAAAAAGTATGTGAGAGATTGTACCAGTTTCTAGAATAGAAATATTAACTATTAACTATTGCTGCATAAGATACCCAAAATTACTGACTTCAAACAATCAGTTTGAAGGCATTTGTTATTTCTCACAATTATGTGAGTGAGTTGGGTGGTTTTACTGGTTTCACCAGCTCATTCATGCAGCTACATTCAGCAGGTAGCTTAGTGGGGAGCTGGACTCACTCAGGTGGACAGATGACGTGGCTTGGCCTTTCCATGTGGTCTTTTCCTTATAGCATGGTGGCAACTGGGTTTCAGGAGTACACAAGAAAATTTCAAGATTCTGAAATTCAAAGAATGTCACTTTACCACGTTCTCTTGGCAATATAATAAGATTACATACAATACAATTCTGACACTGACTGTATCAGAATTAGTACAGAATTAGTAACTGCTCTCACTTTAYATACCAGCTACAAATTTGGGGGTCCCCAAGCTGTCCACAGATGAGCTGAATAAAAAGACACATGAAGTGAGATTTAGAAGGGCAAAAATACAGAGCTTCTACACTCTCTCCCATGGAATCAGGACACCTCACCCTCCCAGCACATGGATGTTCCCACCAACCAGGAAGGGCACCTGAGCCTGAGCCAGGGCTTTTATTTATATTATGTATGTTTCTCTCTTCTAAGACAGCTGGTTAGCTTTCTGCTCAGAATGGACTCTAATAACTCTGAGGCTAGAAAGAGCTTGCATGTTGCAAAGTCAGAAAGAAGGTCAGTGTGGTTGAGATACACTGATGAGGGCGAGGTAGCATGGGATGAGATGGGAGGCGGGGGGTGGGAGGGGACCGACCTTGTGGGGCCCGTTGACTTCATGCTTGAACTCAACCTYGAGCTCCGTTTTCCTTGCAGGTTGTTCTTTCAAGACTGGTTAGCCCCCATCCTGAGTCATCTCATCAAATTCTGGTGTGATAAATAACAGAGGCATTCCTGTCACTTAGGAAATTCCAGTGGTTCTAGAAACTATGTCCCAGGAACCTATCACAAAGATCAGACAAATTATTTATATATAGTCACCAGTCAAGGGGGTAGAGATATGGATTTCCCTTTGAATGAGAGGAGCAGCAAAACCACACTGCAAAAAGGTCACGCATCTGGGGATGAGGGGCTTGTGAACGCTGAACTGTCTCCCATGGAAACTGAAAATTGGTAGGATTGTTCAGTGATTAGATCCCAGCTGTCTGGATCTRAGAATCTGGAGGATGAGTTAGATGGTTGCATCAGAGAGGTCCAGGACAGGGCCCTCTCTGTCCTCGGGAGGCCAGTCATGCCCTCATGTTGGGAAACTCCGGCTTTTCTTTTTCTGTGCTCTAGTCRGACTTGCCCACCTTTAGCTCACCCAGTTCCCTCTAAGCAGGGAGTCGCATGGAGCTGGCTGCCTTATTGTTACTGGATTCAGGTCTGGGCTGCTTGCCACTTGAAGGCCAGTATTCAGGAGAGAAGAGTTGGTAGGAAGGAATCAGGTTTTTTTCAGTGGCTGGCACCTCGGAAGATTGGGAGGGGTGTCATCCTCAAAGCTCCATCTTGAGGAACTCTGGGAGGGAAATGAGATCCAGGGAGACAGGGGGCAGAAGGCTGTGTGCTGAGCAGGGTATTCATCCTCCGGGCCATTTTATTTTTTCCATTAGTCAGAACGTCACAGTGGACCTCAGAGTCTATATTTTCTTAAAACAGATATATTTTCCTGCAAGTTAAACCTCACAGTAATTTGCATGCTTTGTGTTAGTTGATGTATACAAGTAAAGATTAAGGAGGGGGTGACAAAGGTCACCAGATGTTCTGGGTTCTGTAAATTTAAAGAAAGATGATTTATAAGTTAACATCTTATTAACCTTTTAAGAATTAAGAATTGAGAATTGAGAATGCTGGGGAAAGGCAGGGTATAACACACTCAAAAGGACCAGGGAGAGGAAACAGCCTTGCAGAAGGGCACAGGGAGGCGGCCACTCTCACATGAGCAGACTGTCACCAYAGTCGCTCTCTCAGGGCTTCATGTTGGGATCACCTGGTCAGGGGAGTCATGTACATTTCCAAACAGTATCATTAATTTTACTCTTTAGCCCATGACTGATATCTCAATTGTATGGCTTCACAAATTGACTCAGAAGGACAGAAAAATATTTGTCCCAAAGTGGGTACTCCACAAACACTTATTGAATGAACAAATGAAAACTGAAAATTTGCCCAGGATTATACAGTGGTTAATGGAGCTCAGGACAGTATTTAGTTCCTTCTAACCTTACCATCAGCCCAAAATTTATCCTGTAATGTCTTTTGGTCTCATATAATTCAGGGCATCAGTGAATGAACTGAGTTAGTAGGCATGATTAATCTAGCAGTTTCATTTTTCTGCTTATCAAATAAATATGTTGGCCCTGAGGCAATCTGAGTTGTATGAGAGACCATGCCCTCAGGTGACTCAGATGGACCAGGCCACATTCAGACCCTAAGGCCTGACTCAAGTCATTCAGGATTTAACTGTTGTTTCATCCTTGAATGAAGAACCTCCACTGGGGGTTGGGACTGGCCTGTCAGACAAGTGTCAAGGCTGCTCACTCCGGCTCTCCCTCTCTCTACTAAGRAAAAGGTCCCTTAACAATGCAAGGGGCTTCTCCAAAATATGAGCCCAGCTGCATAGAAAGGCCAATTCAGGATCAACTGCTGTCGTCAGAGGGTGGGCATGAGGCAGAGTGCTAATGAGGTCTGCAGGGGTTCGCTAGTGTCCTGTGGCCCCAGAGAACTTTGAACTGGGTGTTGAGAGTTTTCCACGTGTGATCTCAGAGAACTCAGAGCCAGAATTCTAGGCCCTTGGTGACATCTGCCCTTGTGACCCTAGATGTGTCTATGGCCAAGCCTCTCTAGGAAGGTTGTTCTTTTTACCTCACTCAATAGGAAGGTCTTTGGCCATTGGCAGCCTCTACTTCCTTATCATTAGGGCACTTTGACCTTGACTTTTTTTTTTCCTTCTAAGACAACCAAGGTATGTTCACTTCCACCCATATTCGAGATTCTTCCAGTGAAGTCACTGAAGGCCAGGAACCAGACACTGGCCCCACCCTTCCCGGAGCTGAGGTACCTTAGCCTGGCCTACAACAAGGTGACTCTCTGTTTCTCTACCTACTTCCTTAGGGGCATAGATGGGAGGTGGGATGGAGAGCATTATGGCCTGAGGGCGAATCCTTCCATTCCCTGGTTCCTTCAATTCCACAGTCCTTCAATTCCCAGGAATTCTCAAGGTGGGGAAAGTAGACAGAGTGCAGCCAGGGCAGGAATCCCTCTATCCAGTCATGGATRTATACTTAGCGCTTCCCATGTGCCATGCCCTGAGCTAGGCATTAGGGATACAGCTGTGAAAACAAAGTCTTGACCTCTGATCTTTTGGAGCTTATCAACTGAGGGGAAGATGGGTACTGGACAGTCAGTCATTATAATCATCAACATAAACATGCTTAGTGTTATAAAGAAATTCCCAGTCATATGATGAGGGAGGGCAACCTCATATTTGGCATCAGGGAATTTTCTCAAGGAAAAATGGTGTTTGAGCTACGATCTGAATCAATAAGTATAGTCAAGTGAAGAGGTTAGGAACAGCAGATATAAATCGCTGGGACAGATATCACAAGTTTTTCCTGTATTTTTCCCAATATTCATAGCCTACTTGTTTTTCTGTAAAATTCCACTTATTCATTAATTTGGGGGTACTGGAAATCAGATTCAGGACCTTGTACATGCTAATCACATGCTCTATCACTCAGGTACATGCCTGATCCATGTTTTTATTTTAATTTAATTAAAATATTTTCAGTTTTTCTTGTGATTTTGTCTTTGACCTATGTGTTGTTTAGAAGTCACTTGTTTAATTTTAACATCTTAGATTTGTTGATTTCTTTGATTTAATTCTCTTGCAGTCAGATAACATAATCTGTAAGATTTCTTTCTTTTGACATCTATTTAAATTGCTTTGTGTTCCTCTTTATGGTGACTGTCCCATATGCATTTAGAAAAACTGTGTCTTGTGCAGTGTGAGGGGAAAACATTGGTGAATGTCAGTCGAGGGGCGGCTGGTGTGGCTCAGATCTTCTGTGCTGAGGAGAGTGTTAAAGTCTCTGGTTGTTAGTTTGGCTCTCCTTGCATCTCATCTCAGCTCATACCCAGAACCTGCTTTCTCTCTGATGTTAGTCGCAATAGCCTTCTTTCAATTCCTCAGCCAAATGTGGGCCTCCCACATGCCATTCTTCTTGCCTGTGTTACAGTAACACTATCTGATGCAACAGACTTAACATCTCCATCACATAATGTAACGCAATAAAAGTTTATCTCTTGCCTTTACAAAGTCCACTGTGGATAATCCTGGTTGGCAGGTGGTGGCCTTCCATACGATTATCCAGAGACCCAGGTCCCTCTGGCTATGGCTGTGTCATCATGTGGGGTCTTAAGAGTCCCTTCCTGGTCCTGTGTATCTGGTAGGTAGATGGTCRGTGGTGGGAGTGTGGTGAGAGAGCAGAGGCTCTGCGGGAGGTTTGGGTGTGGGCTGTGCCTGACTTGTGTCCACATTGCACTGACCACAGCTGAGTCACATGACCACACCGAGGGGCCCCAGAAGCTAGCTGCTGTGGGCTGGTGGCCCAGAAATGGTTTTGATGCAGATGTGTCTCCGTGATGCACTCCATCCTCCACTGCACTCACTAGTGACCTCCCGCCCTCCTTCAGATCTCAGGGTCGCCTTCTCTTACCCTCTGGCTGGGTCGAATGGCCCTAGCACTTGGTGCCCCTCTCTTTTGCGGCACCATCACAGTAGTCAGGCCACTCTCCTTTGTGTTACTGTTCCTCCCGCRCTGGTTTCTCAGTACACAGCGCTCTTTGACAACAGGCTTCCTTGCTGTCTCACTCACTGGGAGCACGGTGCTTGGCACACGGTAAGTATTCAGTAAATATATGTTGGTTGAATGAATAAAAATGGACATGAACATATAAGTTAATTGCCCCATGGAAATTCAGGGTCATCCAGTGAGGCTCCGGAGGAGTCCAGCTCAGGCATGCTCTCTTTCCTGCCCTTGGAACCTTAGTACCTTCGATGGATCCTGCGCCCCACCCAGCACCTTGCAGTATGTCCAGGGGCCTGAGAAGCCACTGCTCCACTCCTGGCCCCTTTGATATCCATTGCCCCATTACTGCTCCAGTGCTGGTAGATAGCTTCCCCGAGGTAGTCCCCAAGTGTTCCAATCACTCTGCTCAAAAAGGAGTGTGTAATTTTTGTCTTCAAGGCTGGTTTGGCCAAAAAGCACCTTCTTAGGAGTAGAGCAACCTCTGGGCCCCAGACAGCCATGAGATGTCCCTCATACTGGCTCTGCTTATCCCTTAGWTTGGGTAGATTCCCTGACAGCCTGCCCTCTGCCCTCCCCAGAGCAGTACCTAGGACTGGCCTCAGGAAAGAAGCCCTTGGGAGTGCTATTGACAGGCTGGGTGGGGTGGGGGGTAGGGGGTGGAGGTCTGCCTTGCGGAAGGTGAAATGTCAGGTTGTATACTGAAATCAAAGTCAGTGCCCTTGTCCTTCTGGATTCTGTGAGACAAGTACTCTGTGTGTGTTCTTATTATTTGTCACTGTCATCCCTAAGACTTGTCATGGGCTACATATCCAGTATGATGAAGAGGGAACATTCATAACTCTAAAACATGAAACAGGGATGGTGGAACTTTGAGACGGAGGGCAAGGTGTTCTGAGCATGAGCGGCTGATAGTGCAAGGACAGGCACTTCCAGAGTGAGGTCCAAGCACGGCRGTGTCTCCTCCTGACTCTGCCCCCTTCTGTCCCTGCAAAGCAGGGCCTATCCCCTGTATCCCTGGGTGGAGGTGAGGAACTGGTCCACCTAATGGTCTCTCCTGCATTTGTTACAGATCGCAAGGGAGGATGCCATTCTGCCAGTAGCTCTCTTTCCATCTCTCTGTGAGCTCATCTTTCATAACAACCCTCTGGTGGCCCACACACGAGGTATGAGGCCTGCACACTTGCCCCCAACTCAGTATTAAGGAGCAGTGGAGGCCAGGCCCGGGCTCTGCTCAGTGTGTTAGGAAATGGAGAAAATACATAGCTATGCTGCTGTCTACTGGCATATCCAGCAACTGTGTGATGCTGTCATTATTGTCCCCATGGACTTTGGTGGAAACTGAAGCCTAGGAAGGTTCATGATCTGCCCAGGGTCACACAGCAAGAAAGAGTTGGGAATCCAATACTGGAGGATCCCCGGCCCTGCATTAGCTCTCTAAGCTACACCCTGCTTTGCAGAGCAGGTCTGTGTGGCCTCATTTCTTACTTCCCTTCTAGGGAGGGGAGTGGGCCAAACCGCAGTGCTCTCCCCTCCCACAGTACACTGAATGCCGCAGTGCTGTGTCATAGGGGACACCACTGTCCAAGATGTGTCAGCTGGAGACATGCGGTCTTGGGCCTGGAGTGACACCTGGGCAGTCCTAATCCTTGCTCCACACTGTTACCCTGGGACTATTCTGTGCCTCAGTTTCCTTAACTATTGAATGGGAATGATATGGTACCTACCTCCTAGATAAGAGAATGAAGTAAGTTACATTAACACACATGAAGCAGTTGAACWGCCTGGCACATGGCAGTCCCCAGGAGATGCCAGCTAATAGTCATCTTATTTTCCCATCATGGCACCAGGYGTCCCTCCACTGCTAAAGAGCTTCCTCCAGGAGCGACTGGGGATCCACTTAATTCGAAAGAAGGTAGTAAAGGCTAAGCATCACATTTTGATGCCTCGGAAGGAAACGCGGAAGGTAAGTCTTCTAGGACAGGACCCAGCCCCAGGGGAGGCGTAGCCTGTTTTAATGCCTGCGGACTTGCCTGGCAGCAGAAACCCCCCCCCCCCATGCCTGAACCCCTCCACTAGATACAGGATTGCCTTCTCCCTGCCCTGCTCTGATGAATAGGATAGAATCAGGAAAGAGAAGACGGTCAAGAAAAACCCCAAAATGTAGGCAGGAGCCTCGGAGATTATTGAGTCAGTGACTCCCTAGTTTTACAGAAAAAGTAAGGCCCAGAGAAGAAGCGGGGAGGAACCTGCCTTGAAGTTGGAAAACCCAGGGTCTGGCTCCGACACCTCCYGCAGCTACCTGATCCTGGGCGACAGTTGCAAACTCTGAGCTTCAGGTTTCTCAACTCTGAAACCTCCCAGAGTTTCTGAGAGGACTGGATGAAACACAGACATGAAACCATATTATAGACTCCCCAGACTCATCCCCATGCAAGTCACGTCCCTCCAGCTGCTCCAGGACCAGAGTGCCTCTCCTGCCCACGTCCACTGTCCAGGTCGGCCGCTTCCTCTGCAGGTGTAGCCAGGGCTCTTAGGCTTGCCTTCTAGGGTGCCATGAAGTCAGTCAGATCTCTCTTTCATCTGAAGAATCTCAAAAAGTTCTGTGAAATGCTCCTCCCTCCTGAACTTTAGCTTTTATACAGCCAAAAGCTGGACTAGTTTGCTGATTCCCAAAGCTACATACAGTTGGCCCTTGCCCTGCCCCACACCCTTTCTCTGTCCAGCCACGTCTTGTCCTGAGAGGACAAGAGCAAGCATTTAAAGTCAGAAACAGACAAATTCCAAGGATTTCCATAATCTTCCCCCAACTCTTGCCTTCTCTAAGGATTTCTTACCTCCCAGCCCATCCACCAGCTGGGAAGGAGGAAGAATCCAAGAGAGCTGAGTGCTGAGTACACAATCCTCTCCCCACTTTACAGAGCACCCAGCCCAGCACTCTGCTGAGCACTTGCACACATGCTGTCACATGATACTCAGCCCTTAAGGAAAGATTCAAAAAGGTATGCTAAACTACTCGTTAAATGTTAGTACTGGCAGCGGCTAGGGAGGCTGWGGCAAGAGAATTGCAAGTTCTCTTGCAATTCTCAGCAACTTAGTGAGGCCCTAAGAAACTTAGTGAGAGACTATCTCAAAATAAAAACAAAAGGGTTGGGATATGGCTCAGTGGTAAAGTGCCCCTGGGTTAAATCTCCAGTACCAATAACTAAATAGATGATAGATGAATGGATGGATGGATGGATAGATAGATAGTATTGGGATCCAGAGACCTCTCCTCCCATCTAAGGTTCTGAATAGTAGAGTTAGATAAACACAAACTTCAATGGCCAAATGGGAAACAAATCAGTGCTTTTTTACTTTGGACAAACAGCCTCTAGGCTGGACTACAGACCTGGCTTAAGCTGGGGCCCACCTAGGCATACCTGTCTTCCCCACCATGCTAGGCCATCTCCTTGGACCTAGGCATGAGCAGGTCAGGGGAAAATGGAGAACYTGCTGGGGCAGGCCTGCAGTCCAGAAGTGGCGTGGACCCTTTGCTAGTGAGAACAGAAGTGGAAGATGGAACAGCTGCTGTTAATGTCAGGCAGTCTAGCCCAGCACGATGCCAGGCCAGAGACTGTCAGCCTCTGACCAATTACAGTATCCATTCTTCCTGTAGCCGTGGGCTGGGAGTAGTGGAGGGATAGAGAGTGCACCATCCTACACTCCTCCCCAGTCCAGGAGAGAGAGATGAGTATTTTTTTTTGACTCTGCATGCCTTAGACTTCATTGAGGTTTTATATATTTTCAAAAAGAAAAAAAAATTTTTCGCACCAGGGATTGAACCCAGGATGCTGAACTAGATCCCTACCCACCCCAGTCCTTTTTTTACATTTTTTATTTTAAGACTGGATCTTGCCAAGTTGCTGAGGGTCTTGCTAAGTTGCTGAGGCTGGCCTCCAACTTATGATCCTCCTACCTCAGTCTTCTGAGTCACTGGGATTACAGGTGTGCATCAAGATATTTTCTTTAAAGAGAAATTTATTAAAATGACATCCATCATACTCCTGTCTGTTGAGTAGCCTTGCATACATCATCCTACTTGGGAGGACTCTGAAATTTGGGCAGTATGGGATCTGTCTCTCCTTCATGAGAGGAAGTGGAAGTACAAAGGGTAGAGCTATACTCCAGCACCAATGTTCCTGACTTGAGTGCTTGGGATCTTTCCACCACACTACTCAGACTGTAAAGGTATACATATAAGTGCACCAGATACCTTTGAAAAAGAATGTAAACAACCTACCATGTTACAGGGAAGGGAGGAGCACAGGGGCCTCAGCTTGGAGTCAGAGGAGGAGAGGACGGTGACAGGCTTTTGCTGGTTAAGGAAAGGGAGCAGTTCAACAAGAAGGAAATTATTTTGGTCCTAAGCCCTGCGATAGATTTGCCTTTTGGATCTTTACATAAGGTACACAGGTCTGGTGCTGCCACCTTCCAGAAAATGCAGGCCACCCCTCAAACCCCACCTGGGATTCCCTGAAGAAAGTCAAGGACATGGTGGTAAATGTTGATTTGAAGAGTAAGGCTGCTGAGGGCAGGGATGCACAAGGCCTGGAGCCAGGCTGGAATTAGTCAAGCTGGCCACTCGTCACTCTGTGACCTTGGCCAAGTCATTTCGCCTCTGCGTTCCAGCTTCCTGATCTATAAAATGAGGATAATTATTCCCTGGGTGGTTTTGAGGGGTACATTTTTGGGCATGCAGCAGATGCCCAATAAGTGTGACCCCCACCACCTTCCTGAGCCCTTACCCGGTGCTCTGGCCACTTGTGTAGTGGCCAGAGGCTGGCGACGCTCAGGAGCAGAGACTCCTCACTTGCAGAGCAAATCCAACCCAGTCTTTCTCCCTCGGCAGGTGAAAACCCAAATCCCCAAGGTGCCAAAGCAGCCTCTGGTGCCCCGTCACCAACCTTTGACTACAATCAAGTCTCTCTCAAGGGACACACCTGAGGCAGAGCTGCCGGAAGAGCTGCACCCCGCCAGGAGCACCTCTCTGAAGGCACAGATAGCCATGGAGGGGCTGGAAGGCCCCAACCTGCCCTGTCGGACTTTTGTGCCTCTGCCTCCCATCTGCTCTGACTCCACTCTGCATAGTGATGACACGAGGTCCCACGTGAGCGATGTAGCCAGCCATCCCAGCCCAAGTCACCTGTCAGAAGAGGACACCAAGAGCACAGAGTCCATCTTCCTGACCCAGGTGCCTGTGTCCAGCTGCCTATTGTCAACAGCACCACAGGCTCCTGCACAGCCCTCAACTGGCTGGACGGCTGCGGGCAGTGGGGGCAAGCACAGGGGGGACTAGAAACCAGAGGGCAGCATGGTTGGCAGGGCCCCAAGCCTCCTCTGGGAGATCCATTGATCTGAGGCTACTGGTGGGGACAGCCTGGGAGACATGTGAAGACCCTGTGGCCCAGACAGTATCTGGGATCTGGCTGGGGAGTGCTGCTGTCCAGTTTTTAGAGCGCTTTGTCCCTGCCTCTGACTCCCTGCTTGAAGTCCTCTCACTTCTGTTATGCCTCTGGATCCTGCCTGGGCAGATGGCCCAGATGTAGGTCCTGCCCTTGAGGCGTTCACAGTCTAATGGGAAAGATGGACAGGGACAATACCTGTGATCAGTGCTGAGACCTGGGGAGACCCAGGGCCTGGAGCTGRAGGAAGGAGGGATGCCTCTGCCCCAGACAGGAGGGCTTCCTGGAGGAGGGGAAAATGAGCTGAGTTGTGCAGGCTGAGTGGTTAGCAAGGGCATTTTAGGCAGAGGGAACGGCAGGAACAGGGTAGAGAGGAGAGAGATTGGAATGGAAGGGGTAGGAAGCATGAGTGTTCAGTGTCACAGATGCAGAAGGGGAGTGTGTAGGGGAAGGGAATTACAGGTTGAGCACCCCTGACCCCAAACTGAACTCCATCATGCTCCAAAATTTGAAACTTTCAAGTGTTGACATGATCACAAGTGTAAAATTCCATACTGTGGAACTTCGTTTCATGCATAAAATCATTTCAAATATTGTACCAAGTTGCCTTCAGGCTGTGTATATAAGGTGTTTAAGAAATGTTAATAAATTTTTTGTTTAGACTCAGATTACATCCCCAACATATGTTATTGTGTATACGCAAATATGCCCCAATTCAAAACACTTCAGGCCCCAAGCATTTCAGAGAAGGGATGCTCAACCTGGGTAAGGCTGGAAGAGGTCAGGGTCCCCTTAAACTCTGTTATTATTACATAAATTTCTCCGATCTCCCTGGCTCCAGTCTTGCCCCTCTAACATACCCACTGCCAGATCTTTTCAAGTACATATTCATCCATACATTCATATCTCATTCTCACCTGCCTCTTTCTTTACTCCACACAGGATGTGTAAATTCATTCAGCATAAAAGTACTACAACTCAGACTATAATCAAATAGTATTAAAAAAATAAACCACCTAGTTTAGAGGAAAGGAAAATATGGACAGGAAAGGAAATAGTCCAATGGTAACCATCACTCAAACATACACTTCCTACCCTGCTCTCATAGTATGGGTATTACCAAAAGGCAGTTCTGAGCTTCCTAGCAGCCAGAGCAATACAATCACCTGAGTCAACATGTTGTTAAAAAAAAAAAAAAAAAAGTCTTAACTTTTTCTTTGCCTAATTTCCATGGCTATTTTCTCCAGTTCAATGTTGGGTAGAAGTGGCAGAAGCAGATATCCTTGTCTTCTTCCTGATTTTAGGGAGAAAGCATTCAGTTTCTCACCATTAATTAGGACAGTAGATGCCCTTGATTGGGTTTAGGAAGTTTCTTTCTATTTCTAGTTTATTGCGTATTTTTTGATCACGAATTTTGTTTTTGTATGAGCTATTGAAGTAATCATATGGTGTTTATCTTTTATCCTATTGATACAATGTATTGTATTAATTGATTACCAGGCATTAAGTAACCCTTGCATACCTGGGATAAATCCTGTTGTCATGGTGTTTAATCCTTTTTACATGTTGCTGAGTTTGATTTGCTAGTGTATTTTTGAGGATTTTGGCATTGATATTAATAATTGATGATACCATCTGATTTATTTTCTTGCGATGTCTTTCTGTAGTCTGGGTTTAAGGGTAATACTGTATGAGTTGATGTGTGTTCTCTCTTCTAATTGCTTGGAAGTGTTTGTGAAGGTTTGGTGTTAATTCTTTCAGTGTTTGACTTACCAGTGAACCTAGCTTGTGGGAAGTTTTTAAATCATTAATTCAACCTTTTAAGTTATTATAGGGCTATTCAGATTTCAGCAGGGGGTGTAACTACATCCCCACATCAAGTACAGGTTCTGTCTTATAAGACCAGTGGGGAAGGCTCAAATCCTCCATAGCTTGCTACGGAGTGAAGAAAAAGAACATGCAAAGCAAAGCAAATACCCTCAATGTGGGATTGAAAAGTCCTGAGCAGTCTGAGCCCTGCTTACCACTATAGTCTGTCGCTCTCCATTGTTCTCCCACTGGACCCACCTTCCATTCCCCTAAATGCACTGTGATGTGTCCTCCCTCTGCACCTTGACATGCTGCTCCTGGCCTGCTACATTCATCCTTTTTGTCACCTATCGTCCATCCTTTTCCTCAACCTTGCCTGGAGACCCCCCCTTCTGGCTTAAGACTTAGCTCAGGCTAAGGAATTACTTCTCCAGCAAGCTTCCTGGCTGTGTTACCGCCTCCTCTAGGATCACCCAAAACCACCATTCACCCCTCTGTTAACAGCGGTTATGAAGCTGTTTGGTCCTCACCTCTTTTCCTATCTGCCTCCTCCACCTGTGTCTTAGTCTTGCCTGTCACACAGGCCCAGCACAACACGGAGCTTGGAAGCATCCAGGGAGTGAGTGAGTGTGTTTTCTTCCTGGCACAGGTGAGTGAGCTGCCTTCCCACATGACCCACAGGGGTGATTTACAAGTGAAGGAGAAAGACCAAAGGAGACCAGCCACAGCACCCAGAGAGATGAAGAGGACTCGGAGGAAGCTCCCCTCTACCTCCATCCCCAGCAAGTACCATGGCTATGAGGATCTGCTGACAGCTCAGCCGGATTCAGCCTTCATCGAGCCAAAGGGTATGTGAGGGTCGGGCCTTCTTCACTGCCCAGAGAAGGCATGGCCAAAGCAGGACTGGTGCCAAGCCTTCTTTTCTCAGCCTGGTGCTGTCCTCTGTCTAAATGTCAGAGGCTCCTCAGGGTGTCTTGGCTTGCAGCCCTGCATGTCACAACCCCTGTCCTTTATTGGGCTTTCACTGGCTTGGGGAAGACACTACTCATTGGGAAATTCCAGCCAGGTTGGCCCAGCTGCTCTGGTAGGAAGTCTTTCCTCAGGAAGGGCTTCAGGAACAAACACCCAGACTGTCAGATTCCTGAGCTTGTCCCAGCCCCCTTAAATTAAAAAATGAACATCCCAAATCCTCCCTGGTTGCTTTGAGGCAAGGGAAGCAGCTCCCTCCCTGAGCCCCTTATTTCAGTCTGCTGTGTTAGAATATCTGTGCTTCTAAAGGAATGGCTCTTGGGTATCAGCCCCCACAGTGTGATGCTTGAGGTTAATGGGGTCCACTGGGGTGGCCTTTCCTCCACACTAATGCAGTGTTTCCATTAGGATCTGTACTCATAGGGGACATATTTACCAACTGAATGATGGAACTTCAGAAGTTGGAACAAGATGAGGGAGGTCTGGGAGTAGAGCTTTCATATTGGGGACTCTTGAGTCCTTTTACCAATGACTGCTCTGAGGTTGGGGAAGGCAGGAGTCAGGAGCTGTGTCTCTGTCTCCCCTTTTTGCCCTAGGCATCCAGAAGAACGCACAGGCCCTGCAGCACATGCTGAAGCACCCTCTCCTCTGCCACCCCTCCAAGCCCAAGCTGGACACTATTCAGAAACACTATGTCCCTAAGGAGAAGCGGGTAAACATTCAGCCTACTGAATATGTGCATGATCCCGGAGGACCCCCACAGGCACAGATGTTGCTGTCACTTGGGATCCTCTGAGGCCCCAGTACTCCCTGCCTGGTGCTGTGATAGCATGAGGTGAGGCCAGGAGACCCTGTGCCTGAGCCTGAGATAAGCCTCCTGACTACCTTCTGGCAGGCTCAGAGGATCCCAATCCCAGCCCAACGGAAGACTCGAACCCAGATGTTGGACGACATCCTCATTCGCATGCGGGATCCCCGGAACGTTACGGAGGCTCCACTAGGTATGGCTCTCCTCAGCTGCCAGCACCCAGTTAGCAGTTGCTCATCTGCTGGTGTGAGGCAGAGAGCGAGCTTATGTCAGAGCCAGAAGGGCTCTTGGAGGGCATCTGCGCCAACCATTCTGTGTGCAGATGGAGAAACAGAGAAGCGGCCTGAGGCGGGGAGTTTCTCAAAGTCACATAGTGTGACAAGGACCTGAACCAAGGCTTGAGATAGAGTGGGGGTGGGGGTGGGGGATGCCACTGACTTCCCACTGCCCCAGGCTGCAGAGACCATTTTCAGTCCCTTTAACCTCCTCTCCCCCGCTCTCGTCGGGGCACCCCGGGATGAGAAGCCTGCGAGCTGGGCGCTGATCACTGCTTTTGCCCCCGCAGGCGCTGTGTTGCGCCGGCGCGCAGACCAGCGCCTGGTGAACCAGAAGCAGTACCTGGAGGCCAAGCGGCTGCTGAAGGAATACCGCGCGCGCTACCGGCAGCTTGTGCGCGGCTCGCTGCGTAAAGTGTTCCGGGCCACCCCGCCGCCCCAGGAACCCCCGGCGCTGCAAGAGAGCCAGCCCAAGTTTGGCCGTTTCCTTGAGTTCATGGATGAGTTCTGCCAGGAATCCACGGCCAGTGACTTAAAAGGCTAGGGCTGCGCACGGGCCCATCCCGAGGGCTCTGCGCTCCGGATTGCCTAGGCTGCTGGGTAGGGCGCAGGCCTGGGGCCTTGACTTGCCCTCGCTGGTCTCAGAGCCGGGAGCTCGCGGGAACCTCCCGCCTCAGGCCAGGCAGGACCTGATGCCTAGCTCAGCAGTAATAAAGAGTGGGCACATAGAGCAATCGAGTGGATGCCAGGCTTTCTTCCTTGGAAGCTGGCCCAGGGTCACAGCAGTGTGGTCCCACTGGAAAAAAATCCGTTGGTTCATGCATCCCAGCAGCTATGATTGGTGCTAGGACAGAAAGTGCGAGTGTTGAAACAGAAGTTAACTCTCCTGTCCACTACCAATACAAGGCAGAGGGGCCAACACCAAGGTCTCTAAGTCCCAAATTATGTGCTTTTTCTGTTGGGCAGCTTTTCCCGTTGTGTAGGGGCAGGGTACAGAAGATTGTGTTCCTTTATTAGATGGCTATGATTACAGAGGTGGGATGAGCCGGGAGGGAGGGTTTACATGGAGTTTCCCAAGGTTCTTTAATCCAGAGCACAAGTTGAAGGCACGAATACAAAAACATGGAGCTATGGCTCCAAAATACATACTGGGGCTATGCAATCACTRGGCTCCTGGTAAAGTAACGCTCTGGCAAGGTACCCTGTGGGTTGCCCCATTCTTGATGGGTACAGAGGAGCATCTGGAGAGGGCCCCCCTGGGCTGGATTGCAGGATGCACATCTGGGATAAATGCTGGGTGTAACATAATCCCCTGGGCAATCCTCCCCCCCCCCCCCCCCCGGGATGCCTACGATTCAGACATGGGTAACAGGGGGTTTCCAGGACCTGGGAAGCAGTTATAAGGATTAATAGCTTCAGCAAGGCAGATTCCCATAACCTAAACTGCAGCTAAATATTTACATACTATCACACTCAACTGCACAGTCTTAACACAAGTGGCCAACTGTTTACTCTCAGCTGTGGTCATATCCAGATACACACACTCATCATCACAGCATACTATACAGGTCACGCCAAGTGACCTGCATCTTGACCATTCACACAAACATCTGAACAGATCTGAATGCAAACACACTGTGACCCACCGCAGTCTTGTACTGGGGCATAGTGCTGACTCACCAGCTTGGATCTCCTGCCCCCAAATCACCCTTCCTCTATTGTTAGGAGAATCCACCCCAACAGTCACACTGTCAACTTCACTGGTTCCACCTGGACTACTTCCTTCAGTCAGAAATCCCATAAAGTCATAGGCTCTTGGGCCTAAAAGGCCTATAGGCACGTCTCTGTCACAACACCCATACCAACAGCTTTTTGCAGTCTCCCCAATAACCAAGCTCCTGTTTGCATATCTAGTGATAGGGAGTTGTGTCCTCCAAAGGGTGACCCTTCTTTCTCGGGAAGGCTGTTGGTCAGTTCTAGCACCTGACTATGCTATCTAAGTCCCTCTGCCTTTTTTTTTTTCCTTGGTCCTGGGGATTGAACCCAGGGGTGCTTAATCAGAGCCAGGTCCCCAGCCTTTTTTTTTTTTTTTTTTTAAATTTTATCGAGAGAAAGGTCTCACTGAGTTGCTTAGGGCCTTGCTATGTTGCTGAGGCTGGCTTTAAACTCACGATCCTCCTGCCTCAGCCTCACAAGCAGAGGGAATACAGGAATGCGCCACTGTGCCTGGCAGCCCCTCTGCTTTTTGGCTAAGAGTATATCTGCTCTCTGCCCTCCCAGACCAACCCTTCATTTATATGAGAAAATCCTGAAAAGGTGACACCTAGGTGGGCCAAACAATTAACTTTTCAGTTAACGACTGTCACCTCTCCTAGACTGTGCTAAATTTTTGACGATCATTCTGAATTCCTGATCTGATTAGCTTCCCCATCTTGGAGAATTTTTAGCCAATAGTAGAGAACTGGCTCCTTCTCCCTCACATGTACCCAAATGTCATCAAGAGTGTCCCCCAGAAAGGGGGGCCACCATGCAGTACAGTGACTGCTATCCCTCTAGTAAGACCATATGGCAGCTCATATTTTTAACTCATCCTTTCAGCTTCAGCATGAACTATTTTTCTAGTCACTTGTCCAAGTTGCCAGTGAGCGCCATGGGAGTCAGATGTGGCCGAAAGAGAACTAAAGTAGGTACAGATCATGCTTCACATCTCATGTTGCCTCCTAAAGTGGGGGTGTAAAGGGAAAACAGCCTGGTCTCTAGCCCTGCCAGTTCCAATCCAGAGGAGGGGACACCTATCCCAGAAAGCAACCAGTAACACAAGTTAAGGCTAGAGGTAGAAGGTGGCAATGCCTTAAGGTGGCAGAAAAACAAATTGGTAGCTTTGGACTGAGATGCTGTCAGGGCCAGTTTTCATGTGTAACTGAAGACCTCCCTGCCTGCCACACCTGGCTATCAAGGAATTAATGAGTGGTGTGTAGAGCATTTGTTACTCGATGGGCCAATAGATATGTGAGTCCTGTTTCCTAGCTACAACTAGCTATACTGTTCATTTTAACCATCCTACTTTTGAAGGTCTTGGCCAGATAATTTAAAAAATCCCTCACATGCTGATTTAATCATGTATGACACCAATTCTTCCAACAGTCTTCCAAACTGGAAGAAATGAAACAGGATACGTTTGTTCACTGTTGGAAAAGAAACTGATAAATTCCTGAACAAAAATTCCAAAAATGGGGTATTTTAAAAAATCAGATTTGTAAGTACAGTCCTAATATGACAGTGTCATCCCATACATTCTTTCTTTACTCACACTTTTTCTTGGTGCCTTCATTAGGAGTATGAATGTGAGAATGACAGTAAATTGTAAATTGGTGATAACTACATCATGAGTTACATCCGAAGATATAGTACCATGGAAGTCCCATCCCAGCTCCTAATCTCCCCATCATTGTGAATGGCCAGCACAGAACATTCTAACATAAGGTATCTCCCTTTGCAAAGGCAGCAACAAAAATCAAACAACACGTGGTCTAAGCATGGCCCATGTTTGCCTGAGATTACTCTCCAGAGACAAGACTTTGATTACAACAGAATACTCAATTTCATGAATTTTTTTTACTGTAGTCTTAGCTTGGGTCTTGCCTTAAGCATACATACATTGAAAGATGCACTTTGGTACTGTGTAAATAAACACATCATCCCACTTGATTCCACACCATTTTGTTGTGGCAGAAGCATCCCTGATGGGATATGCCCTGTTTGAGTCCTCTTTGTCAAAATGCTGTTTATGATGAGTTGGAGGGGGAACAGCCAGCAGTAGCAGTCCACAAGGATCCAGGTTCCCTCTCCAATTGTAGACAGCAGGTTGAATAAATTATAATCACTGGACCACCAGGGAGCCACAGCAGGTTGAATAGAATCAATAGACAATGCATTTCCTATTTTTAGGTCGGAGGGGAAAAGGCCCTTAGGGCAATTGTATTTGAACAGTTAAACAGCACAGCAGTTGCAAAAAGAAAACCCATTGGTTGGCATTTAAGATAATAWTTTCCCCCCTTTGCATAATACTTACTCTGTTATTCCAACTTTAACTGCTCTGCTGGGAGCTCAGGGTTAGTGATGCCCGGTTTGATTCAGACTTGACTCTGAGGGACAGCTCTATTCCCATCTGGCATTATGGCTTGGTAGATGGGTGGTGCCAACCAGGGAGAAATCTGGCTGCCACCATGTTAATTTGGAACCAGCCTCAATAGCTACTCTTGAGCTCTAACAGCATGATATTTGAAGAGTGCATTGTCTGGGTCTCATTAAATGAAAGGAAAGAAAAATAAACAAGCCTTGACCTTGGCTTTTTCTGGTGTCTTAAGACACAGGAAAAGGTAGGGAGAGAGCCTGGCCAGAGTTTGAGGTTGCCTCTCACTAAGAGTTACCACTTTCCAAGCCATTAAGAAAGYATTTACTCAACAAGGGGTGCCCCCTAGAAAGGAAAGGAAAAGAAAATACTGTAATACATAGAGCAGTCTGCACATTCAGTCTTGGCACTTTTCCTTGTCATCCAATATGACTAATCACTAAACTGATGACCTCTGCATATATCTAAGTCTCTTTTCTATAGAACAATTTTCCTCAGAAAGCTACAGTGGATAATAATTGTGCAAAGATGCACTTCTGGATCATCTTCAGAAGAAAATCAGTTCCGCTGCCTCTTTCCCTAGAACCTGTCCCCCACAGGCCTACTTTCTCATCACCACAAGAATTCATAACCAGCTATGCTAGAGCTAATGACCTGGCCAAAAGATCACTCTGTGGGTTGATGGATAACTAAAAAAGATCTAAGACTCTAAGGAACTTCTGATTTTGAAAGACAAATGAAGGGCTGGTTAGCTTTTAACCCTTAGTAATTAAAATGACAATCATCCCAACCAAAACATATTACTTCCCAAGATTCCCCATTTATATTACTCAGTACACTGTGGGTAAAGTTTTCCCTACCTAGTATGTATTCAGGAGATATAGGAACATTTTCATTTTAACTGAAAACATCAAAACAAAAAACTATTATAACTTTCCACATCATTGGAGTATCCTCCTCATTCCTGAATTATGTGTGCATAGACATCTGTGTGTAATTTTAAGGGTTATTTATTCAGGTCCTAGAAAACTAGAGGATAAAATAGTATATAGGGCACTGAATCCTCATTTGTTAAGAAAAAAAGGGGTGGGGGGGCTTTAACTTGATTTGCATGCCTACTCCAACCACATTTTAGAATTATGATCCACCCCCCAYCCCCACCCCGGYGCTCTCCTGCTGGCCCTCCACTTTAGTGAGAAGCCAGGTAGGAAAAAAAAGAATCCCAAGTTGCCATCAGCTCTTGATGAGAGGTTGGGCTGGGAAGACATTAGGATGTTACTGAAGCGAGGGGTGGGCCACTTTTGACCACATCAGTGATCCACAACCTGCCTCATTTCTTGGCTCCTGAGCTAAAAGCTACTAGTGAAGAGAGGCTATTGTTCTATAATCACAACAAAGATGATTCATTCTCCCCTGGTAAAATTACTTAGGAAATGGAAAGTAGTGTTACAATCAAATTCATGAATCTGACGATCTCTAAAAGTTCAAGGCAGCCTGCTGGGTGCTGAACATCCTAATGAGACCTTTGAAGAGCACTGCTATTAAAAAAAAGGAAAAGAAAAAAAGAGCCTTTCATAAGACCATTAACATAGTCTCCAGCCACACACACATTCAAATACATTCCACTGGACGTTGAACTCCTCAAGAGCAGAGACTGTCCATCATTGTATTTCCAGCACAGGGTTGGCACAAGTTTAAGAGTTCCAGAAGCATCTGTCAAATGAGCAGAAAGGATGAAGAGCACAGCCTTCACCAGACAAGCATAGTGGCAGCTTCCCATTTAGGCAATTTGCCAGTTTATAATAAGACAGCAATTAATTAAGCAGCTTTTAACCTCCCAGAGGCATTTTTTCCTTTAGGTAAAAAAGAATAGAAACCTACAAGGCATTATTTATGATTAATTCTTCCTCCAGGCAAAAATTTAAAAATTAAAAATTGTAAAAATAAAGGAAGCCACTTAGGAAAGGTTTCCTGGGCAAGCCTCAGCTAAGACTTACCAGTTTTCAAAAAGAAAGAATAAAAGGAAAGGGACCACAGGCTGGGTACGTAATCCTTTGATCTGTTACCAACCCAATAGACCCAGATGACTTCTACTACTTGATACAATCAATGGTTGTAGAACATGTTCCCAGTCTTTCCTTCTCTGCAGAAACAGGCTGAGAGCCCTCTTCTGAGGGGGCCACATTTCTTGGATTTCCCGTCAGAATGACACCTACTCTCCCACCTCTCATAACTTACCCTTAATAAGAAAAAACAGAAAGCCTATACACAGGAACACATTGGTAGGATGTGGGAAATCTGTATGAGTTGGACTTCAATAGTAAGAACATATGTTTTCTGAAATACTGTGTGTCTCATTCAAGTTCATTGCCCGATCATTCTATTCTCCTTCCTTGTCTTTTTCTCTCACTTCTGTCCCCCAAAGAATTCATGTCAACGACTCTATTTGTGACCAACTTCATAGGCAATAAGAAATGAATTTTTTTTTCAGAAAGAAAAAGTGTTCAGATTTTAGTTTAAGTATGTGAAGCATCTTAAAATACAGATAATACCTTAGTGGTTTTTTTTTTCCTCCTCCAAAGCCAAGCAGATGAAAAATTAATAAGTCTCTTCCCTCCCTAACCTAACCTGCTATGCCTACATTTAAAGGACTAGTGCTCAGCAGAAGTGTACAAGGCAGCTGTCATACCATCCTTGGCATCACAGTAGGTGCACGGGGGTGGTCAGAAACTGGGACTGGAATATCCGCCTAACAAGAAATAGTTTTTTACTCTTCATCTGAAGTCTAAACTTGTTGCTACTGCTATGCAAGTTCTTAAAATCAAAGTATTAACTTGGGGAAATATTTAAAATATATATTTTTCATCTATTAAAAATATTTATCTTTTTTACCAAAAACAAAAATCAATTCAAACTGAAAATGTTTTTCAAATTATTGGTGCTATAGAAAAAGGTGGGAAGTGGAAAAATAAGTATCTTTACCACTACCAATAAGACTAGCCTTTCCAATAATATTTATGAAGATCAAAGAGGAAATACATCAAATGGCAGTAACTGAAAAGTTTTCTCTATGGGCATTTAGTAAGGTCACCGTCCCTGTCCTCTGCAGACCAGTGCCAGCTCTTTTATTTTGGGCACTAATTCCACAAGTTACGCAGGACCTAGAACTGAAGGGGTGTGAATATAAAGTCACGAGATTGATGTATGTTTTTTAAACATACATCTGCACATGTGCGCACATGCAGAATACATACATTCGGGTGAGATGCTCCCCACCAGAGTTGTCACTGAAGAGGTCCCATATATATCAGTAATGACCATAATGCTTCAGTCATCTCTGGAATTTCTCTTTGGGAACTATTTGGGAACTGTGAGCTGCACAAGAAAATGGCTCTGTTTTTCAGTGGTACCTCATTTATGACTCCAAACCCTATTCATAAATTTTCTTTCCCAGAGGCTTCAAATAGCTTCTGGCTAGTTTCAAACTTACAATTCTCTCTCCTGTAACTCCAAAAGATTTAGGATCTGTCCTGAGAAGAAAGTACTATAAAGTACTTCCTTCAACAGTGAGTCTGATCTGGACCCCATCTTTTGCCTTAGTAGAAGGAGGCTGGAATACATGATCATTAAGGTGCCTTCCAGTTCTCACATTTTGGGAGTGAATCTATGTCTCTAGAAATTTCTAGACTTTGAAGACAGTTTTCAGAAATGTTTCACCAAAGACAACATCATTGGAAAAATGATGCATATGCTGTGGGGGCTAGTCAAAGGAGATATCATATATGGGAATATATAAGCTCTGGAAGGTTTGTTAAAATGCCAGTCATGTGACTATAGTAACAGCTCATACATACACAGGGAATGCCAGCTCATCTGAGATTCCCTAAAATTTTCTTTATCTCTATTCTCAATGAGCCCAGATGGGCAGAAGCACCAAGCACCACCAGGGATGCAAAAGACACATGGTGTCAGCTGCTAAGGAAAATAAACCCCAAAGGTCCATGGGACTGAATTTACCAGCTGAATCCAGCTAGATACCTTGTTTCCATAGTATGGAGTTTCAGCATCATTCTTTACCTGACTTCAGGGAATTTAGGATTTTAGATCAACATTGCAGATAATCACTGGCCATGAGGAAAGTGTTAATGAGGCCTCACTACAGTTGGTCTCACGGGCTGAAACCCCTATGAAAACACAACATGTAAACCGGGGGAAGGAGAGGATAATGGCACATCCTGTCAACTTAATTACTTGCATATGGATTTTTCAATGTTCAGTGCGCAGCCTGCTTTTCTTAGGTGCCCCTGGGTTGCAGTCTGTTTGGACAACCTGTTAGTATAGAATACCCATGGGACTTGTGGTCAGTCTGGGCAATGCCACTTAGTTGTTGAGAGAATATGAACATCTGCACTTCAGTTTCATTATCTGAAAAAAGGTACCACTTTTGAGTTAGGTCTCTTAGGAAGACCAAATTAAGCTGTTTGGAAATGTCAACCATGCAGCATTAATCACATTATTTTTTAAAAAAGAGAACATAAATTAATTTTTGTAGAAGCACATGCTCAACTGATTTAGGTAGGTAAAGGTACTTGTAGCAAAAGCACAGAGAAAGAGGGATATAGCAATATGATTTTGGGTCTTCCAAAGTACTACACTGCTCCACTTCTTTGAAAGACATGGAATTAATTTTTATCTGCAAGATTGATTTAAAACAACACCCTGTTGAAAGAAGTCAGGAGGTCTATCAGCTTGAGAAGGTATCTCCTCTTTCCTCTACCATTTCTAACTGTGTCAATTATGCTCCTAAATGAGGCCATTCCAAATCTCACTCCAAGTGGGTGCTGTTAGATTTGGCCCAGAAGCCCTCAGAGGTGGTCACTTCAATGGGGATGGTTTGGCGGTGAGGAGTGCTTCTGGTCTGGGTCCCAGAGAAACAGACACAGTTCCCTTGTACTTTGACTACCAAGGTCCTGGACCCTCTCAGAACCATATTAGACAGTGTTTTGCCATAAAAGAAACCCAAATGAGAACACTCAGCTCTTCTGGATAAATGATCAAGGTCAAAGACCTCTTAAAAATAGGTAACACTGTTCATTAAGTGCTACTTGGCCCCAGCCATGCTGCTGGACCGCAGGAGATACTGATCCACGCTTCCTTTTCGACGACTCACAGTCCGCCTCTCACTGTCAAACATGCGTTGCAACTGCAGAGCCAGCTGTCGGTCCTCTTCCTCCTGCTGTAATTTCTGCTCCATCTCTCGAAGTGCTGGGTCTGTTGGGGCCAGACCCACCTCACTGCTGGTTTGTCGCAGTTTCTTAAGGGAGCCATTTTGTTCCAAGTGTTTGGTCTTACAGCGTCTTTTTCGACCTCGCCGCAAGGAAGGAAGTGGCTCTTCACCCAGGCTGTCTACCAGAACACCATTAGCCAGATCAAAATGATTTAATGTCTTCAGCTGTTTCTTTGTTTTGAGGACTCCACCCAAAACATTGTTTTTGGGTAGCAATGAATTAACTGTTGAGATTTTCACGGCTGTGCTTATGTAAGTTTTGTCTAACCTGGTATCTGGGATTGACCCTGACCCCTCAAACTGTTCCCCCTCCAAAGTCCCACTGGCTCCCCCTTTGAGTTCTGAGGAATAGCAGTTTTCCAGTGGGATCTCAGTGYTCCTTTTACCATCACTGTCCTCTTCAGCTTTTGTTTGGCTAACTGAGGGGAAATACTCAAGGTCAGTGGCAGTGGGTCCAGTCTCCTCAGAGAGAACCTGCCCACTGCGGAGTCTTGTATTTGAATCCAGAAGTGGCTTTTCCTTGCTAAAATGGATAATTTCAGAACTTAGTAAGTCTTCGCCTGTTTCAGATGCCAGGGAAGTTAGAGTGGCCTTTGAAAGGGTCTTTTTGATTTGCCGCTCTTGAAAGATCTGTTCCCACTTTTTGAGGATCCGGGGACTAGCCTCATAAGAAGTCTGCTTCTGCAGGCTTCTGTTTAGGTTGCGAGGTGTTGACTTGATGATGAGGGGACTTAGCACACGGCCATCAGGGAGTCTCTTAGGAGGAGTACATGGTGAGCAGACAATGGGCTTGAAATGGTTCAGTTCTTCAGAGATGCTGTCATTGCTCTCAGGACTGATAGAGCGCTCTGGCTTATGTAGGGAAGCCAAAGAAGAKAGGGAGCTGAAGGGCAGACGCTTTTCGATGGTTAAGTCAGGGGCTGAGAGACAGCGGTTATTTTGAGTGGACAAGAGGACACCAATGATGGGGTTGGAGGATGGAGTCATAGTTGTGACCTGAAAAATATTTTAAAAATTACAGAGACATGTATTTTTTTTCCACATAATTTTTTCAGGACAGCAGAGAACAGGGACAGAGAAGGAAATAAAAAGAAAACCAAGAAAGAGTGATGTGAGACCAAGAAAAGTGCATTCTATTTAACAGAAACTTCTATGCACTTGGATCAATTAATAACATTAAAAATCTGAAGTAAAGAAACATCTAGAGCTTTTAAAATGCTTCTCTAATGGTTCTGATATCACTCATGTGGCTATTAATTGAAACCTTCTTTCACATCTGTGTGTAGAAGTTTCCAACATAACTAATATAATATGCCTGGGACCCATTCCCCATTCTGCCTATTCTCAAAGAAATTGTTTCTTCCACATGCAGAGGATGCTAGAGAGAAGGACTAGAGAGCCTCAACAGCCTGTGGCTGTGATTGTACCTTGGCTTTGATGGTTGGAGCTGCTCTGAGTCTGTTCTTCACTCTGTCCTGAGCTGTGTCACTACAGCTCTGACTCCTCTGCACCTTGSAGTTTAGCTTTCTAAGAAAATAAAGAAAAGACAAAAAGTGAAAATTAGTTCACACTAGTTTAGGAAAAAAGATGACAATCTCTTTTGTGCATTCTAAACCACTCACCAAGAAAGACAAATCTCTTGGGCAGCTACAATAGAAAATGAGTTAATTTATTAACAAAACACATTCCAAAAATAAACCTATCAAAAGAGAAGGAATGCTCCACAGAGTACATCTGGTTCAAGCTTTTGTTTCTAAATTAGACCCTGCCTAAATGAGGCAAGACCAATGGCTATTTTAGAGACATGTAGGGATACTTTCCTTAACATGCTGCATTCAGCATTAAACCACCTTTACAAACAAAGTTTCTTTTTATTAGACCCAAACCCCTTGTCAAGCAATCTAAATCAGCCAAGAAATAAATATTGAAACATTTATAAAAATGCAGAGCAGCACACTATATTTTTATGTAGGGAGTCAAAATTAAATGTAGTCCCTCCCTCAACCCTTTTACATTGAGTTTTCTAGTGACTTAATAGACTTCAAGAACACATGAYTTTCTTTCTTATTTCCTTCCTTCCTTCCTTTCTTTTTTGTAGCATTAGGGACTGAACCCCACAGCCTCACACATGTTAGGCAAGGGCTCTCTATGACTGAGCTACAKCTCCGGCGCTTTTTTGTTTGTTTGTTTTTAAATTCTGAGATAGTCTCTAAATCGCCCAGATAGGCCCTCAGATTTGCAATTCTTCTGCCTCAGCTTCCAGTGTAGTTGCAATTACAGGTGTGTACCACTACACCTGGCTAAGAACGGATAATTATTCTCTTATATATTACATCATGACTTTACAACACAAATCAAACTCCACAGTACCTGTATTGTATACTGAAGTCTACAACACTAAATTTTGTATATAGTGTGAGAGTGGGGTCTACCTTCATACCCAGCACTATATATGAATTTTACTCTTAGAATCACTTTCAAATAACTGTCACCTGCCCCACAGACTATAATTGCTTACCTTCTCCAACTCCTCCCTAATGTCTGCTCATCAAGCTTTTGTCATATACTTACTATATGCCAGGCACTGATGAGCACTATCCAGGCACTGGGAATGCAGAAAATAACAAGTCACAGTCTAAAACTTCAAAGAATCAAAGTTCAGTGGGGCAGATGATTAAATAAGGGAATACAATACAGTAAACGGGAATACAATACACACACAGAGAAAAAGTATGCTTGAGGGGCAGAAATGGCATAAAAGAGAAGGTTATTAATAACCTATGATGGAGTAAGAACAAAGTTGGAAAAGCCTTTCTGTAGCATGTGCATTCTGTTGGATAAGTGTTTGCTGTAAGTCAAGAGATGATCCCAAAACACAAATTGTCTCCTCAAGTGACTCTATTCAGCTTTGGAATGAATTGCATCTTATGTAGCAAAATATCTGCTTTTAAATTTTTACTATGTCAGGATTAGCTCAGGAAAAAACTTATGAAGGAAGTAAGGAATAACTCTATAGAGTTCCTCTCCTCTCTTGCATCTCTAGTCAAAGTCAGCTATACCTACCCACAATGGCTTCTATTCCAACATCTCTGTGATGTTCCTTCCATTCAAAATCCTCCCATCCTATGTCTCATGGCCACATGATATTGTCAAGAGAAAGGGAGGGCCATGCGTCACCAAGTTCAACACTTAACCCAACCCAAATGACTAATATGAAAATTGTACTACTAATGGGAGGTACATTTGAAGCAGATGGAAATTTTCAATGTCATCCTATGAAGGCAGCTGCTTAGAAGTCAGCCTGATAGGTATTTCACTTAGAAAAATATTAAAATTCATTTGCATTCCTAGAAGTCACACTAATTGCCAGCTGTGTAAGCAACGAAAAAGTAAACTGGATGACATATTAAAATACTATKGTGAAATATATATTTCTGGTCAGGAGAAAGGGATATAGAGCTTGAGACAGGCAGCATTATTTCAAACATATGAGTTTTTGGTGTAAATCCCATGGAAAATCAAGTACACAATATGAAGAAGAGATTTTCTGATCAATGTAAGAAATATCTTTGTAATTTTTATAATCAGACTGACTGCTATCCCAGCAGATACTGGGCTTGACTCCATCAAAGAGATGTTCCAGCTGAGGATGGACCTAACCTTAAGTTTCAAATACTCCATAATTAAGAACTAAATTAATATAATTTTTAAGAACTTAATATAATTTATGAGTCTATCTTGTCAAAGGTAAGAAGGTAAAAGCCACTGGTTCCATGCCCAAGCTATTGGATACACAAATGACAACTAATAGTAGCTGGGAGAACCTGTTCACATGCCTCCTAAACTTCACTGTGGTGAAAGAAAAGACCCAAACTCACACTTACAGTGACCAAGCACACACTGAGGACACCCAAAGAGTTTCAAAAATCTTTTTGGTAAACCTTAGTACAGCACACATTATCACTGTCTCTTCCATTCATTTGGTTAACACACTTTACAGAGCACCAATTCTATACAAAAATATAGAGGTTGATGAGAAGATAATCTTGACCCAGAGGAGCATGAATCACTGAAATCTACTACACTATAAGAGCTACAAAAAGGACACAGATAACACATATAGCTAACCTCTCCAGGTATTTTCTCTTAAGAGTTTTATCGAGTTTTAGCTCTTATATTTAGGTCTTTGATCTATCTTGAATTCCTTTTTGTCTATGGTGCAAGGTTGTAGTCCAATTTCATTCTTTTGAATGCTGATATCCAGTTGTCCCAGGACCATATGTGAAAAGCTATTTCTACCCCCCAATGAATGGTCTTGCTACCCTTGCTGAAAATCAATTRACCACAAATATATAATTTATTTCCAGATTCAATTCGATTCCATTAATCTATATGTCTACCCTTATTCTAGTATCACACTGTTTTGACTGTTACCACTTTGCAGTAAATTTTGAAATAAAATAGTATGAGTCTTCCACCTTTTTCAAGATCACTTTGCATATTTGGGATCCATGCAAATTTCATACATAAATTTAAGCATTAGTTTACTGATTTCTGGAAAAAAAAAGGCCCATCAGAATTTTAATACACATCACATTGAATCTGTAAAACGTTTTGGGGAGTGCTGCCATCTTGAAAGAATTAAATATACCAATCCATGAACACAGGAGGTCTTTCCCTTCATTTTCATCTTACATTCTTTCAACAATGTTTTGTAGTTTTTAATGTTCAAGTCTTGCAACTCCATGGTTAAGCTTATTTGCAAACATTCTACTTTTTTTTTTTTTAAACATTCTACTTTTTTGATACTAAAATTATATTTTTAATTACAGTTTTGGATTGTTCACTGCTAATGTATAGAAATGCAACTGAGTTTTCTGTGATGCATCCAAGGAACAGGGCCAAACCACAGACTGAAACCTCTGAAATCATAGCACACCCCTATAATCCCAGTGACTCAGAGGCTGAGGAACAAGGATCGCAAATTCAAGGCTAGCCTCAGCAACTTAGCAAGACCCTGTCTCAAAATTAAAAATTAAACAAAGGGGTTAGGGATGTAGCTCCAGAGTAGAGTACCTCTGGGCTCAATCCTCCAGTGGAAGGAAGGATGGACAGAGAGACTGAAGGAAGGAAGGAAGAGAGAGGTAGAGGTAAGGGGGAGAGAATGAGAAAAGAAGGGGTAGTGGGGAGGAAAGAAATCTCTGAACCTCTGAAACTATGAGCTCAATAAATCTTTCCTCCTTATATCTCTGCCTCCTAATTGGTGAAGTTATTCAATTTACATTTAACACAATTACTGATAAGGAAGGGCTTCTCCCATTCTGTTATTTTGCATTTTTCTTTTTGTGTTGTGGACCAAACTCAGGGCCTTATACATACTAGGCAAGCACTAGCCAATCCCTCATGTCTGTTTGCTATTATACTTTTTTGTTCCTGAATTCCTCCATTAGTGCCTTCTTTTTTGTTAGATTATTTCCTAATGTACCATTTTGACTCTTTTATTACAAATGCTTTTATATTTTCTTGGGAACTATAATTAACATCTTAATTTATAACAATCTATCTTGAATACTAACTTGGTTTCAATAGTACACAAAAACTTTGCTCCTACAGAACTATGCCTTCTTCATGTTGTTATTGCCACCAACTTATAAACTGTACCTATCAACACTATAATCAGGGGGATAGTAGAGGATAGGAAAGGTAGCAGAATACAACAGTTACTAATATGGCATTATGTAAAAATGTGGATGTGTAACCGATGTGATTCTGCAATCTGAATTTGGGGTAAAAATGGGAGTTCAAAACCCACTTGAATCCAATGTATGAAATATGATATGTCAAGAGCTTTGTAATGTTTTGAACAGCCAATAAAAAAACCACTATAATCACTATTTATGCATATGTAGTTGTCTTTTTCCCCCCTCAGTTCAAATTTACGATAGTACAAAAGATCATTGGGTTGATGCCCCACTACTTGTACATCCTACACATCAGATGGCTTGYTCCACAACACAGCTCAGGCTATTCCCACCAATGGAAAAAAACCTGGCCTCCCAATCCCTGTAGGAAAGGCATGTTTTGATCCCCACTGCATCTTGTGTTTTAAACATGAACAAAGTACAAAAGGGTGTTTTGTTCCCTTGGCCACCCACTGCAGCCTGGCACTAAAATAATCTAGCACTCACTTCTGCTTGGAGAAATATGCTTTGCTYTTTTGGTCATCTGGCTTGATTGATATCACTGCTAGGCTTTCAGCTAGCCAGGTACACTTTCTCATATTTGTCAGTGAACTGGAAAGCCTGAGTCTTATCCACAGAGTGGTCCACATGAAGGTCATTTACATTGATCTGCTAAAGAATATCCTTATTATCAATGTCAAAGAGGCACCTGAATGAGATGCCTTCATCAGCTTCTAAAAACCCCATAATCTTGAAYAAGAGTGCATTTTGTGTCTGATACTATGGGAATATTCATTGGTCTCAGTCCTCCTTGTTTCTTGCTTGGGTGTGTTAAAAGCAGACCAG